AGCTGAGATGGCAGAGGACTTAGGCACCACTGGCCACATAACTATTTATTCCTATTACTAGGAAAACTCTGAATTATTCTTCCACATCAGAGCTTTAAATTATACATTTGTGCTTATTTATTTGACAGGACTTTTAAAATATGCATTTTAAAAACGTACATTTTTCTTTTCTATTTAAAAGTGGTGATCGGCATTTTGAATACAGACAAGCAATCTTCCTTAGCAGGATCTCACCATGTTGCCCAGGCTGATGTCGAACTCCTGGGCTTAGGCAGTCCTCTCACCTCAGCCTCCCAAAGTGCTGGAATTACAGGTGTGAGCCACCACAATCGCCCAATATTGATATGTTTACGAGTCCTTCTTTTTCTGTTGATTTTCCTATTTGGGGTACATTGTTTAATTGAAGAGCATGCATTTTAGAAATTGTCTAAATGTGAGTTAGTTAGAATTTCCAAATTTTCATACTAAAAGTTGTATGTACACACATGCACTCATTATATGTCACTTGCTGCTACCTATCCTGCACGGTGGAAAAATCTTAAAACAAATAGTCTTTTCTCAATTTAAGAAAGGGAAAAAATTCTTTCTATCTCTACAATAGTAAGTATGTGAGACAGGAAGGAAGATTTATATTTATCCACCTCTTTCTGCAAAGAAAAATCTTTAAATGAATAGAAGAAGGAGGTATGATGTAAAACCCCAAGTATCAAGATACTCACAAAGAGAGGAGGAAGACAATACTTGGTGGAATGAGGGTCAAATGAAAAGATTAACCTTGAAAAGGAAATAAGACTTTGAAGCAAGGATAGTTAAAAACCTAAGTAAGTTTGAAAGATGATGGGCAGGAAGTTGAGTAAATTTTTGCCTTAGCTAAGTATCTAAGACCACTACTAATGAAAACAGTGGTTATTTTATTTAGTGTTTGTCATATACTAGGCAGCATGTTAAATTCTTTCATGTTCTGTCACAATGAGTCCTTTCTGCAACACTGGAAGATCCAACATTATGGCCCCCATTTCACACGTGAGAAAAGTGTGTGTGTGTGCACATGCACATGCACGAAGGGTTAATAAATTGACCAGAACCTCAACAACAATGGTAGTCCGTGGTGATTAGATGTTGGTAGTCTCCCTCCAAACCCGATGTTTAACTGCCTCAAGATAGGCATTTCTCCAGCTGTAATCACCCAATGCCTAATTCGTGCCCACTGCAAAGATAAAATCAATTCACTGAGACAGATGTATTGCAGTAGAGAAAGAGCTTAATAATGCCAGGGTTAGTTGAGCAGAATGATGAGAGTACTCAAATCAGCCTCCCCAAGAACTCAGAAGCTCAAGTTTTTATGGATAATTTGGCCGGTAGGGGACGCTCAGGGATGGGTGCTGCTGTTTGGTTGGGAACGACATCATAGGGGTGTGGAAAATGCTTCTTGAGTGAGTTAGCCTCTGTGTGGTGGCCACAGGACAGGTTGAGTCATGAGTAGCAGCTCTGGGTGGTGTCAGTGAATTGCTAGAATGCAAAAGTCTGAAAAACATCTCAAAAAAAATCTCAGGTTCTACAATAGTGGTGTTATCTATAGGAGAATTTGAGGGAAGTCACAAACCTTGCGCCTCTGGCCACATGACCCCTGAGCAAGAAGGGATTATAGAAAAGCCAACTGGAGATCAATGGCTGCTTATCATTTAACTATACCTACGTTTTAGCAGAATCCAGGCCTCTCCCATAATCCTAATCTTGTGGCCTTTCATTAGTCTTACAAAGGCAGTTTCAGCTCCTGAACAAGAAAGGGGTCAGTTTTAGGGAAGGACTCTTTTTATCCTTGTTTCAGAGTTAAACTATACTTAAATTACTCCCGTGGTTAGCTTGGCCTATACCCAAGAGTGAGTAAGGGTAGCCAAACTGTGAGGCTAGAAGCAAGATGTATTCAGTCATACTAGACTTCTCTTTCTGTCATCATCTTTGCAAAGTTGGTTTCACACCCATGTGCCCTTCATGTGGTACTTCAAACAAGGAACATATATTCCTATCACCATCCCATCAGTTTCTATCAAGAGTTATACCCTATCTGCTTCCTCCTTGAATCCTATTTATGAATTCAAAACCCAGGTGAGGTTCTGGCTACATATAGAAGCCCATTTCTTATACTCTCTGCTTCCTCTGCTTCCTGAAGCATAACTTGCTATGCATTCATATGGCACTGCCTGTTGATTACTGGGTATTATCATTAATTGATCTTCCTGGAGATATGTCCTGTACCCATAATCAGTGGAAAAGCATCTTGAGATCAGGAGCTACATCATGCACTTCCTCCACAGCATCTATTGCTGGTCTAGAATGTAAAGGCACTTAAGAAACATTATTTGACTGCAGCTTCCAAAAATAAATTTTAGTATAGACACTGTAAATAAATAAGGTCTATAAAAACACCTCAATCATAATCTTGGATGTGTGATTCCAGTTTTGACCTGCCCTGCCTCTTAGAAGACTCTACATAGATATAGTGCCCAAGGGTAATCAAACAAGGAGAAGTGGGCAGCAAATCCAGTGCCCCGAGTTTGAGTTCTGAACTGCCTTGCATTCCCTACTAAGGTATCCCTTTGTTCCCCTCGCAGGCTTATTTCCAATACTCACCAGTTTCGCAATGAGACAATTTGTTCTGTGCAAATGCAAAGTTTTAAAGTCAGACAATTAATAACTGAGGAACCTTGAGCAAATTACTCAGTCTCTCTGAGTCTCAGTTTCTTATTTGCAAAGGAATGATAATAATTCTTGCCTCAGACTATTCACCACAGGCTCATGTGGTTGTAACAAAGATTAAAAGAAGCAATCAAGCCAGGTACTGTAGCTTACGCCTGTAATCCCAGCTCTTAGGGAGGCAGAGGCGGGAGGATAGCTTGAGCCCAGGAGTTCGAGACCTGCCTGGGCAATATAGCGAGACCCTGTTCTCCACAAAAAAGAAAAAAAAAAAAAAGAGAAGCAATCAACATATGTAAAATGCTTGACACAGCAGATATTCAGTATATATTAATGCCACTTTCTTTCATTTCTTCCCGTACCAAGTTAAAAAAAAAAAAAAAAAAAAAAAGCCCCAGTCACCTACTAGACAAGGCATTGGCCTCCTTAAAAAAAAAAAAAATTTAAAAGTAACCAATTTATCTGTATAGCCATAACAAAAAGGTTATAACTATATTGGTATTTAATGTTTAATTAAAGATTTGCTGTTTACAGAGGACTTTTACAATTCTTGGCATTAATCCTCAGAAAAAGTTGCATAAACTAATCAAAACAAGGATTATTATCCTATTATTTTACAAGAGAAAACTAAGCAACATTTTGAGTGTCCTCAAACAAATTACACAAACTTACTCAACTACTAAGTCACAAAGCTTTGTCTTAAACCTAGAGAATTAAAATATTTCTGGGAAAGTAGCAGAAAGAGCTCAGACTGACCTCTAGAGCACATGACTGTTGTAAAAAACACAACGCAGGACATTCACTATGCATTCCCTCAGCCATCATAGCAAAGGATTTTGCTTCTTTCTCCCCAACCCATCCTCAGGTTATGCTAGCTTCTATAGACATTCTCAGCACAGAGTAGGAAAGTATCGCCTTCCCATTTCCAAGTAGTGTTAAGAACATAGTGACAGCTATCCAATTCTCTTCCATCTAAGGAAAGAGGCATGGCGAAAAGTCTGGGAGGCACTGTGCGCATCGTATGGTATGATGCAAATGATTTCAGCTTGAGGTGCCTCCATTTTCAGCTGCAGAATAGAGTCAATTTAATTGCGTCTTTTTTTCATGAAACTGGTAGTGATATGGTTTAAGTTGGCAAAGGTGCTAGATAATTTCAATATAATCAGAAATAACCCTCTGGAAACTAAATTTAAAAATTGGAAAAGAAAATTTCAAAAGAATGCCACATACAATAGTTTCAAAAGACATACAAATTTAGAAATAAATTTAGACAAAAATTGTGCAAGACCTCTACACAGAAATCTGTAAGATATTGCTAGGGAAATTTTTAAAGAGTTGAAAAATAAAGATAATACTACGTTTATGGGTTGGAAGGCTCAGTATTATTCTTCATTCTTAGCAAATAAATTTATAGATTTGATGTAATCTCAATCAAAATCCTGCCAAGCTTTTTTCAAAAGAAATTCACAAACTTACTTTAAAGTATACATGGAAAAGAAAAGAATCTAAGGGGGAGAAATAGTGTTTAAAAAGACAACTTACACTACTGGATTTTAAAACTTAACCATGAAGCTATAGCAATCAAAATGGTGGAACAGAGTAGAAAGTTCTGAAACAGATCCAAACATGTTGGACGACCCTGTGGTATGCAAAGATTTTTTAGATAGGAAAGGAAAAATCACTAAAGATAATTTTCTAATTAAAAATTTTAAAGTGCTTAAATTTGACTTTTTCAAAAGTCAATCCTTCTGCTATCTTCATAAGAAAACATTAAAAAAATGAAAAAGCACACTGGGAGAAAATATTTGCAACATCTGAACTGACAGGAGTACATCCAGAATAAATAAGGCACTTTTCCAGCTCAATAGGAAGGCAAGTAATACAATTTATTAAAAAGGACAAAAGATTTTAGTAGACTCTTCACAAAGATATGTGAACATCCAAGATGTTAAACATTAGTCATTTGGGGAATATAAATTAAAACTATAATGTGATATTACTCTATACCCGCTAGAATAACTAAAATTAAAGATTGGCAATATCAAATGTTGCCAAGGACGTTGAGAAACTGGAATTCTGATGCACTGCTGGTGAGAGTGTAAGATGGTACCACTACTTTGAAAAGCAGTTTAGCAATTTCTGACAAAGTCAAAAACATTCTTAGCATAAAACCCAGCAATCCCAGTCACAGGTGTTCACTCAAGAGAAATAAAAGCACATGTATACACTAAAGACTTGTACATAAATGTTCATAGCAGCTTTATTCATCATGGCCCAAACCTGGAATCAACATAGCGTATATCAGGTGAATAAACAAGTCATGGTATGTTCATATAGTGAAATATCTTAATTTTTTTTTAAATGACACATCACCACAGGGTTGAGTCACACAGTGAAAGGAGACAATACAGAGAAGTGCACAGTGCATGATTTTATGATGTGAGATTATAGAACAGGCAAAGCTGGCCAAGCGTGGTGGCTCATGCCTGTGATCCCAGCACTCTGGGAGGCTAAGGTGGGTGGATCTCCTGACGTCAGGAGTTTGAGACCAGACTGGCCAGTGTGGTGAAACCTCATGTCTACTAAAAATACAAAAATTAACCAAGTGTGGTGGCAGGCGCCTGTAATCCCGGCTACTCAGGAGGCTGAGGCTGGAGAATCACTTGAACCTGGAAGGTGGAGGTTGCAGTGAGCCAAGATCGCACCATTGCACTCCAGCCTGGGTGACAAGAGTGTGACTCTGTCAGAAAAAGAAAGAGAGAGAGAGAGAGGGAGGAAGAGAGAGAGAGAGAGAGAGAAGGCAAAGTTAATCTATAATAATAGAAATCAGATCGGCAGTTTCCTAAAGTAGAGTAGAAAGGTAATTGACCACAAGTGGCCTAAGGAAACTTTCTGGGGAGGTCAAAATTATTCCATCTGGTTGATGTTCTACAGTGTCATGAACCTGTGTATTTAAAATATATGAATTTTATTGCATGTAAATTATATTTCAATAAGGTTGACTTTTCAAAAACCAACCTTGGTCAAACATCCTTAGATACGCTCTCACTTTATAAAAACGTATGCAAAAACATGTCTAGAATAGAGATTAGTCTGAGTGAGGGTATAGATTTTACTGAGTTCCCCTCTTGATGTTCCAAGTACTAGCTCCCCAGAATGTCAATTCTGATATTCTTAAGACGGTGAGTAGTGAAAGAGGGTAATCTTTCTAAAACTATTAACTAATAAATAGTTAACTATGTCCACAAATAAATAAAGTTCCAAAGGCTTTTCAAAAATGATTTTATTTTACGGAATATTACAAACATATTCAAGAAGAGCATGATAAATTTTTATGTACCCATCATGTGGCTTCAATGGCCACCACTGTATGGCCAGTCTTGTTTATCTATATCCCCAGATGCCCCTCTCCCTCCCCGCCTCCCGCTGAACTTTTTTAAAGCAAATCCTGGGGGTTATATCATTTCATCTGTAAATGCAAGAAGCTCTGAAATTGGATTCATTTGTTCATACTGTGTCCTCTGCCTGAAATGGTTATCCCTTGTTCTTTATATGACTAGTTTCTTCTCATCTTTCAGGTGAGACTTTTTCAGGAAGATCTTCCCTGGTCTTCCTATCTAAATAGTTCACCTCCTACCTGAACCCAGCTACTTTTTGTCCTGGTAATCTGTGCCCTGGGCTTTCATATTATTTTCCACAATGTAATTATTAGTTACTGGATTTTAGGCGTCTCCTCAACTACACTCTAAGTGCCACTGTCATAGTATTATCAGTGTCTGGAAGGCGATTAATAAATAATAGCTTCTCATTAATGAATCATCTGGAAAATCAGCTTTTCAGAGGTCAACAATGAACCTTTCCCTTGTATGTGGTGATGGTCTGGATAATCACCAAAGATGAGTTGGTACTGCTTTCCCAGAATTTTTTAAAGTCTTATCGTAAGGTATCAAGTAGCCAATAGAAGTGTTTCTTCTTTTGTATGCTTTTGTAATAATTATGGAATGTTATAAGTGAAAGAGGCTTGAGAAATAACCTACATTCATAGATCTGTTGACTTTTAAAATGAAAAGAATCCTTAGAAAACATTTTGTTAAACAGATAACAGATAAGAAAACTTTATAACCCATATCTAATGTTGCAGAATTTGTGATTTACAAATAGCCATAATCTGAACCCTTCATTTAGAAAAATAGTCCATTTACTTGAGTGAGAATTGAACCTCATAAAATATCAGAAAAATGACTCAATTTTATACTATCTATATACCTAGTATGCTCAGTTAAGCCATTTATTTGACAAATATTTACTTCCCACCCATTCTGCTCCAAAAACCATTCTTGCAGCTATATCAGTGAACATAACAATAAAGTTTACATTCTAGCCCATGCGTCAATATTGTAAAAGTACATCCTCTTGAATTTGCTATAGAATCATAGTAAGGTAATTTGGAAGAAAACACTTTTTATTATGCACTCAAAAAAGGCAGAATACAACATTTCCTTGTCAAGCATATAATACCAAAATCCCAATATCATAATTTAGCTTCTCCGTTTACTAAACTCTGATGAATGAGCCCCCACCACACCATAAAGTTGCAGTAAGCTGGTGGCTGGGATTGGTGAGAACATTTTACCCCTGGAGCTTCCCTCCTGTGGACTCACTGATGCGCAAAGTGACTGCAGGAGCCCAAACCTTGTATAACAACCCTGGGATGGAATAAGATGCACCGTTGGGCCCAGAAGTGCCCAAAACATCTAACATATACACATTGGAGTTGCAAGTGACCCAAAATTAATCATTCTGCTAAGTCTGATTCATTTTCTTCTTCTTTCTTCTTTTTTTTTTTTTTTTTTTTTTTTTTTTTTTTTTTTTTTTTTTTTTTTTATCAAGTTGTGCTTTGTTGCCGAGGCTGAAATGCAGTGGCGTGGTCTCAGCTCACTGTAATCTCTGCCTCCCAGGTTCAAGCAATTCTCCTGCCTCAGCCTCCAGAGTGGCTGGGACTACAGGTGCCACCACCATGCCCAGTTAATTTTTGTATTTTTAGTAGAGATGGGGTTTCACCGTGTTGGCCAGGCTGGCCTCAATCTCCTGACCTCAGGTGATCACCTGCCTTGGCCTCCCAAAATGCTGGGGTTACAGGCATGAGCCACTGCACCTGGCCCTGCCAAATACGATTCATAAAGAAAGCTAGCCTCCATCCCATTTTCTCCAAAAACTTATGCAAACTATTCTCACAAATCCACTTTCCTCACAATTAATTCACTCTTGTTAGAGCACTATTCCCAAGGTGTAATTTGGGAAATATGGGTGTCCATATAATTTGGGAAGTATGGGTGTCCTGATACTTTCTTCTACATTGGACACAGAATCAGAGGCAACCTCAGAAGTAAAGGGACAGCAGCCAAGGAGGTGGGGACAAGCAACGAGAGAGAAGGTAGGGTTGGAGCAGGAGTGGAACAGGTGCAAGAATGTCTCCTATTATCGCAGCCTGATGTCACTCCTCTGATCTCTGTCTCATCAGGGTTCTCTTCCACCTCCATGTATGCAAGGGAGTTTTCCTTATTCCCTAATAAAAATTATTCCAATTCTCTGTATATTTGCTTGGCTCTCTTGTGACGTTTCTAGGAACTCTAGCTAGACTTGCTGCTTTACCTGCAGTCCAGGAGGTATCCACTCTGTGTAATCACAACAGCACAGCACAGGAAAGCCAGCCTAATAAGTGTGAGATTTTGAAACAATGAAGCTAAAATAATTTTATGTTACCCCTCTAGACAAGAAAATAACATGCATTGCATTTTTAGAATTATAAAATAATGCAAATGTCTTATTTTAACAGCTCAGATCTCGGTTGCCAAGTAACAAAACCCACAAGTTCTCTGTACCTTCCATGAGCTTTCAAAGTTTGTTTCTGGCATACTTCAGGGCAAGGAGGAACTTGTTGCTAAATATATTGCATGTTCTCCCACAAGAAACTTGGGGACTTCTCAGAAAAACCTGGGAGGTAGAAGGGGTGATTGAAAAGTCACCACTAGCTTTTCCTTCTGAGCCATTAAATCTTTTATTAATGAAAGACAAAGATTAATTGTTCCTCCCAAAGATGAATGTTGCTTTGAGAAGCCAGAGGCATTTCTGAAAAGATGCGGCATTACCCTGGTGAGTTCAAGAAAGGGCATGTTGGAGAACAAGACCAAGATTCTATCTTCCTTGTAGTTTTCAAACACGCCTAACCCTGCAAAATTCTAGTCAGTGCACAAAACTAGATGCTCAACCCTATGTCTTGTCCTTCTATCCCATACTCTTGATGAAAATCAATGACGGCCTCCTCTGAACTCTTGTATACCTTATTCTCAATATAAGCTCTGTCTACTCATCACATGCTTCTCTGCTACTGGTGAATGCTATGCACTCGTGATGCCCCTAACTAGATTACAAACTTCCAGAGGGCAGATACTTCTTATATTTCTTGTTTATTCCCCACTGGCCTAGAAAAAAGCTCTATACATAACTTCTAAATAAAAAACTTATTGCATGACTAAATATACCATATATGCCTAAGCTAAGAAAACATAAATAATATATACTCCAAGTTCCCTGTTACCTTCCCTAAATAACAAACACACATACCCCTATAGATACTAAAAGAAAAGCCTCTTCTTTATTTCCATTAGCTTCAATTTCTAACTTCTTTTGGCCTAAACTGATTTGCTATAGTAAAATATTTGAGGCCCGGCCCAGTAGCTCATGCCTGAAATCCCAGCACTTTGGGAGGCCAAGGTGGGTGGATCACCTGAGGTCAGGAGTTCGAGACCAGCCTGGCCAACATGGCGAAACCCTGTCCCTACTAAAATTACGAAACATTAGCCTGACATGGTGATACACACCTATGATCCCATCTACTTGGGAAGCTGAAGCAGGAGAATTGCTTGAACCCAGAAGGCGGAGGTTGCAGAGAGCTGAGATCACACCACTGCTTTCCAGCCTGGGCAACAGAGAGAGCCTCTGTCTCAAAAAAAAAAAAAAAAAGAAAAAACAATATATAAAAATGGGCCTGTACTTAGTTTCACATTGTTTGTCTTCAATTCCATGATTGTGTAGAATCAGTGTTCCATGGCGTTCTCCCTATTTCTTGTTTTCTGGTCTCCTTTGTGGGTTCCTGCTGTGCCCCGTCCCTTGTTTGCACTCCTTGGCATTGAGCCCATGTTCCTGCTTCAGCAGTCACCTCAGGTCATATCATCCATTACCCTCTATTTACTGGTGACTTCCAATTTTCTACCTTTAGACTAGCACTCTCCTCCGAGTACTAGGCCCACAGAACCAATTGCCTACTGGACATCTGCATATTAGTGTCCCACAGACACCTCAAACCCTACATGACAAAACCAGAATTATATT